AATGATTTTAATATTAATAATAACAATAATAATATATTTATTATTTAATTTTTAATATTTTTTTTAGAAAACAATTGATCGATACACCAACTTCAAATTATATGGTTAGAGAAATATATAAGAGTAGAATGAGAAATATAAATATGGGAAGTACCTACTTTACATGTTTTTCGCGGGTTACTTCATGTGGATCCATGTCTAATAAAAGCTTCTGCACAATCTTTATGCTAGATTGAGAGAGAAGGTCTACATTATTTAATTTTTTCCAATAAATTTAAGAAGGAATCAATATCAAAAATAATATATAAAAAAATTATTTAAATAAATCTTTCCAATCAAAATTTTAAATCATATATTTAAAACAAAAAATTACCTAAATAGAATATTTATAAATTTAAATATCTATTACTTATTCATAGACCAAATTTAATAACGAAAAATAAATTCTTTTCATATAATATAAGTATTTTGTTTTTTTTAATTATTTTTTTATTTCACTCTTCATTTACTTGTTGTTATTTTTTTTCTCTAGTACTTGTTTTTTTTTTCTTCGGTCACTCATCTTAATTTTTTTTAATTAAAAAGAGACATAATATGTATTTTCTTAATAATTAAAACATGATAATTTGTAATATCTCAAATTTATAATATAATATTTTTTAAAATATAATATATTAAATTATAATATTTTTTATCATTTAAATATTTTTTATTTTTAAAAAATATGAAAACCCTCATTTTATTAAAATTTAATTTTATATTTTTAATTAGAAGAATAAGATAAGTAACAGAAAAATAAAAGAAGTAGAGAGAAAAAAGAAAACAAATTGGAGGATGGAGAAAAAATAAATACAAAAACTAAATGAAGATTGAGAAAAGTAAAAATATAAATGAAGAGAAAAAATAAACTACTTAATATAAGACGATTTTATTTTTTATTATTAAATTTTGTATATGAACAGGGAATAAATCTAATTACGTAAATAAACTTACACCTATTCTATTTAGGTAATTTTTTGTTTTAAATATATTATTTAAAAAATTGATTCAAATCTTTCTAAGTTTATTTATCAAACTAAACGTATTTATCATTCATACACAACATTAATAAGGGAAAATAAAGTGGTGGTACGAGATAATTCAAAAACAGATGCTAACAATTGATTTTGAGATAATCAAATAATATATTATTAATAAATGATAAATAAGTATAAAAAAATAAAAAAAATTAAAAGAATAAAAAATCAAATTTATAAATATACAAAAATATATATTTAATAACTATTAAGTTCTCCAAATTAAAATCATAAAGATTTACCTAAATAAGGAACAAAACTTTTGGAATAATAATTAAGTTTAAAGGAACAAAATTATAAAATACGAATGTAAGTTATAAAATTTTGGCGTATGATCTCCTTACCTCCCAAGTAGGCATGATAACGAGACGAGACAGGGGCGGGTTTTGTTTTCCCGATCCCGCTTCCGACTTTTTTAATCATTTCCGTCCCCGTCTTTGATCTATGCTGGGGTTAGAAATTAAGTCTCCATCCCTGTCTTTGCTGAGTTTTGGGTTCCCCTCCCCTCCCGTCCCCGATTTATATTATTTTTAAAAAGATAATTATATTTATAATAAATTAAATTTATTATGATTTTTTTATATATAAATAAATATTTATAATTATTATTAATTAAATATATATATATATATATATATATTTTAATTTATTATATTTATATTAAAATATGCATATAAAAGAAATATTTAATCATTATTTATTTATATATATAAAATATTTATAACATTATTATTATTATTATTATTATAACACTGTATTCAAATATTTGAATACTTATAACATTATTATTATTATAATACTATATTTAAACATTTGATTAGATCATTTTTAAGTTGTCATTTAAAAATATGAAATATATAGTTTATAAGAAAATATTTAATAAGTAAATTTTTATTTAATTAGTTCAAAATAATAAAAGTTTAAATTATCAATTCCTTTTAATATTTTAAAATATAATTATTTTATTAACATAAAATTTGATATATGATAAATAAGAATAATAAGATAAAAAATTATGACATAATAAAACCTAATAAATATAAATTATAAATAAAATAGTATTAGTTATTACTAAAATTTATCTAAAATGTTTAGAAAAAGATAAAGAAGAAAAAAATTAACTTTGTGTTTATCAAATTGGTTGAAAAGATAAAAAAAAAAAAACAAATTGATGGGAGAGATTAAGAAAATGTGAAAAACAGAAAGGTAAAAGAGAATAATGTAATAAATTAATTAATATAAAAGATAAAAAAATTAAAAAGGTGGGTAGAAGAAAATAAAAATGGTGAAATATAAAAAAATGACATTATATGTAATAGAAACAGAGAAAGTAATAATTTTAAAATATTAATATTTTAAAATTTAAATTTAAATATAAAGTCGGGCGGGACGAAGACGAGGTGGGGATTGCATTACTCATCCCGCCCTGCCCGACTTTTTAAAGCCGGAAAACCCGAACCCGCCCCATCCCCGGTCAACTCGGATTTTCCCCAATCAAACTCGAGGTGGGGATAAGTCGATCCCCATAGGTACAGGTTTAATTGACATCCCTACTCCCAATAAGTTCTCTGCCACTAAATATATATATATATATATATATATATATTTTTTTTCTTATTTTTCTCTCTTTATTTATTTTTTTGTTTTCCTTTAATTTTCTTTCTCCTCTTTTATCCTCCTCTCACACCATCTTATTTTTTAATTAAAAATATTGGATTTAAATTTAATAATGTGAGTCTTTTATTATTATTGAATAATAAAAAATATTAAAATAATTTAAAAATATTATAATTTAATATATTATATTTGAAAAAAATATTATAAGATAAATTTGAGATGTTATAATAATAATAATAATAATTATTATTATTATTAATATTATTATTTATAAAAAAAGTTAAATATTAAAAAAAAGTTTTTTTAAATGATCTAATCAATATTATAATTCAATCTAATTATAACTAAATTAAATTATTAAATAAAAATATATTTAACCTATAAATATTTGATATTTTTTTAATAAAATGAGTAGTTATTTATTATGATAAAATAATTTTAAATTAAATATTTATGTCATCGTAAATAAAATTATTTACTATTAAAGTAAATAATATTATTTACTATTATCGTGGTTTTAAATAATTAGTTACTATTTTTAATTTTAATGTTGTTTTTAAAATATTTGTTTCAATATATTTTTATTAAATTTTAATATATAATTAGGATAATAAATAGGAGAGAAGAGAGAAAAATAAAAGATATCAAATAAAACAAAGAAAAAAAAGAGAAAAAAATATATGAAAGTAATAAAAAATAAAAATTATATATGAATAATAAATATATCTATTTATTTAAGTAAATAAATTCATGTAAATTTTATTTGAGTATTTTTTAAATATATTATTTTTAATATTTTTCACTTGAAAACACAAAAAAGAAATAAAAAATTTATGAAAATAAAATAATAATAAAATTATAAACATTAATAAAGTGGTTTAACTTTATTAGAATATATCGATATATTGTTTTAAGCGGATGAAATCAATATATTAGCGGATTTGTGAACATTATAAATATTAGTGTGTTATCTATTTTCTATATCATATAAAAGATCTCCATATAAATATTATTATTTTTAAAATAAAAATATCCTTAAGCTAATATGACTTATTATCATCATCTTAATATTTCCATACAAAAATATTCAACACAATATAACTTATTATCTTTTCTCTAGAATAAATACAATAAAAAAATATAATTTATAAAAAATAAATTAATAATTTTTAAACTTTACAAACTATATTCATTAATATTATTTTTTTCTGAACAAAAACCACTGTTGAGCTCCAAAATCTAATCTTAAACTTGGAAACTAGGGTGCAGTAATGTGTTTCCTTGAATGGCATGTTCTTTCTTAGTATTAAATTTGAAGCAAGTGTTTGGTAACAGTTGAAGATAAACTGCACATGATCTGGAAGTGTTTTGGTGAAGTGTTCCACCATTCATTCATCAATGAACCCATAGAATTTGCATCCTTCATTTCCCAAACAAATCCATCTTAGCCGTCTTCTGACCGATCAACTACCTACCATTCAAATTGTTCAACGCTACTTTCTAAAACCTTTTCAAACTCTACCTTCTAGATTCCATCAAACAACATTCAATTAATCACACTAATTAAAAACAATTTCAAAAACAATTTCTACTTACCATATAATCCTTTTCATACTTTTTATTTCGTCATTCAATTAATGTTTCACCTTAATAACTTAATCAATCTAGTTATGATATTTTAATAGGTATGTCTTTTATCTAATTATTAATGAATATTTCCGTTAAGTATAATGATTAATATTCCTTTCAATTTTGATACACATCTTAAATTATCCCTACTCTCTAATTAAATTTTAAAATCTATTTAACTTCTACCACTTATCTTTAATTTGTAAATATATAAAAAATGAAATATCCATTATTCCTTATTCTATGAAAAAAACAATAAAAAAATTAAATTCTAATAAAAAATAAATATTAAAAACATCAAAAGAGTTGAATTTGATAATTTAATATTTGAAATAAGAGTGTATTTGACGTTGTCAAAAAAACAATAGTGTTTATGGATGAATTATTCTAATATTTAAATTGTAATTGGTTTTCTTAAAAAGGAAAAAGGTAAGGACTAGAAGGCGAGTGAAGAAGAAATCAAATTGTGCGCACACTTTTGGCGTTGTTCACAGTTCAACTCTTGTTCCGAGTTTTCCTCTTCTCTCGAAAACTAGCGTTCTTCTCTCTCTATCTCTCTCTGAATTTGTATTTGGATCCAAAACCACCAACGACGTCGTTGCACCACCTCTACCCTGTAAGTTGTCGCATTCGATTCCCGCATCGTTTCCTATCGTCGCACACGTCAATTCAATTCCAATGGCCACGGAGCAATTAATGTCCAGTGGCGGCCCTCGATACGTTCAGATGAAATCATCGCCACCGCCGTCGCCACCGGCTGCGGCTGCTGAGGAGATGTCATCGGTTCCATCGTTCCGGCACAGCAGCGCAGAGGCCAATCGGATTTTCGAGGAATTGCCGAAAGCCTCCATCGTTTCGGTGTCCCGCCCCGACGCCGGCGATATCAGCCCCATGCAACTCTCTTACACCATTCAGGTTCAGTACAAACAGGTAACTTGCCATCTTCTCTCACACTCACTCTATATTCGTGATTTTGTGGAATCGAATTCTTAATAAAAAGGGAATCTCTGATCGCGAGCACTGCAGCCAATTGTGTGAAGCTAAAGCAAGCGAAATCCAAGGAAATTGGATCCTTTATTTGCAGCCGATTGCTTCTTCGTACGCTGTGTTTGTATGTGTGCGTATATATGTACGCACGTAAGTGCGTATGTATTTGGCAAATTTATCGTAGGGTTTACTTTGAACCAGAAATGCTTGATGCAATGGTTCTGGGGCTTGTTTGTATTCTCCTAATTCTGCAACTTAGTTAGCTTTGGACTTTTCCTATTATTTTACTTTCTCCGAACAAAACTTTATGCTTTTGCGCATTTACTTTTGGTGTTCACCAGCTTTGGAGTTGTTTAGAGTTTAAGTGTGTGTAAGAAAGACAAAATAATAAACGGTGGTGTGAGCAATAGTTTTATACGTGTATTCGCCTTGTTTGAGGGGGCAGCCACGACGTGACAATAAAGTTGCGCCTTGGTACTGGGGTATGTTAGTTTTAAACTTTGGCCTCGTCTGTTTTGCTGTCGCCGGATATTTTTGGATGGAATAGAAGCATTGTTTGTTGAATATTTATTTCTTTCAGTCTTCCTTCCTACAGGAGGATACTTATATATCTCATTTGCATTCCAGTTTAAGTGGGAGCTAATGAAGAAAGCTCATCAAGTATTTATTTTGCATTTTGCGTTAAAGAAACGTGCCTTCATTGAGGAGATCCATGAGAAGCAAGAGCAGGTGAGCAGTTTTGTATTTTTTTGTATTAAATATATGCAAAATGGCTACAGTGCATTATTGTATTATTTGGCGATATCATTTGTATCTAGCTAAGGTTGGATTTTGATGTAATGTTCACTGAAACATTATATTAAAGGTTAAAGAATGGCTTCAAAATCTAGGAATTGGAGAACACAATGCTATGGTGCAAGATGACGATGAAGGTGATGATGAAACTGTTCCGATCCATACTGATGAAATTCATGAAAGTGCTAAGGACAGGTGAAATGTGCAACTTCTGTGGAGCACTCTATAATTGCAACATGTTACTCTGTGATCATAATATTCTCTACCTTGTTTTTTTGTGCAGAGATGTTCCATCTAGTGCTGCTCTACCAATTATTCGACCAGCCTTAGGAAGACAGCAGTCTATTGCAGAGAGGGCAAAGAGAGCAATGCAAGGATATTTGAATCACTTTTTGGGAAATATCAGTATTGTCAACTCTCCTGAGGTATGCTTCGTGCATGAGCTTTTGAAAATATATGATTATCATGTTACGGAACAGAATTATTGATTCATTGTCAGTTTGTGTCAGACATTTCAGATATGAATAAAATAATATATTTTGCTGTTATGGGTAGGATTATTTGTTAGGTAAGGTCGAACATGATGTGTTTCTTTACTACTCTGGCAATGGAATGCCACTATTGTGGGGGTGGCGAGGGTCAGATACTCTGATGCACACATCCATACCCCTCATTAGCAGAGCGGCTTGGAATCCATCAGTACTAAATCACAAGCAAGTAGTAAATTTACTATTGCACCAAAACTTACTATGGGATATTAGTTTTATTGATAAATATTAATCATCCAAGATTGTCAAGACACTACACCTTTGCATATGGTTACTAGATTTGGCAGGGAAGGCTAACATTGTGAATCTGTTTCTAGTAAGGCTGACATGGTTCTAGTTCTAGTCTGGAAATAGCCTCTCCACTCTATGGGTTAAGGTTGTATGCATCAGATCCTTCATAGACCCCATATATGAGGAGCTTGTGCTCTGGGCTGATTGGTTCTGTGAGGCTTGAATTTAAACAAATTATTGCCTTGTTTTTTGGCTACCATATTTAGTACATGTATATGATATGGACCTCGGAACTTGTAAAACATATTCTATTTTTCAGTTGAAGTATGTGCCTGTTTAAGTTAGTTTATTAGCTGTTTTATTTTATGTTTGATATTCTCCTTTGATTTTTTGTTGAAACTGTGTGGTTTTTATGATCCCTAAATGCTGTTTTCAAAATAATAAGTTTTATGATCTAGGTTTGCAAGTTTTTGGAGGTATCAAAGTTATCCTTTTCACCTGAATATGGCCCTAAGCTGAAGGAAGAATATGTGATGGTGAAGCATCTGCCCAAAATCCAGAAGGATGATGATTCCAGAAAGTGTTGTTTGTCTGACTGTTTCAGTTGCTGTAATGACAACTGGCAAAAGGCAAAGAATCCTGCTTGTGGATATGCTTCTCTTATCTTGGTGTTATTTAAATTTTTTTTTTGGTAACTTTTATTATATTTGGTAAAATTTCTTTCCTGTAATTTTATGTACAGGTGTGGGCTGTACTGAAACCTGGATTTTTGGCATTGCTGGCAGACCCTTTCGATATGCAACCTCTGGACATAATTGTTTTTGATGTACTGCCAGCCTCGGATGGGAACGGGGATGGTCGTTTATCACTGGCAAGTGAAGTGAAGGAACGGAATCCTTTACGCCATTCATTCAAGGTAAGACGGGTGCTTTTTTATCTCGATTGTTGCTTCATAGTCTTGTGCTTTGAATAATGCCAATTCAATTCATTGGTCTTTCTGTTTGTTTTACATCATATCTTGGGTAAATCCCCAATTTGGTCCTTCAAATAGTTTTGGAATATCAATTGGGTCATTGAAAGGTCATTGAAAGATCAGTGAGATCAAGTTAATCCTCTAATGATAATGTTTGGTCAGAGAATGTTCGATCCCAGTAACTAGTAACTTTGGGAATTTGAAAGCTTTCTTTTATGGACCAAATTGATGTTCCAAAATTCTTTGAAGGACCAACTTGAGGTTTATTCTTATGTAATTACTAGCTATTACCTGACTAGTGGTTGTCATCAGATGTATGATACTATACACAGGAAGATATCTTTTTAAACTTTAACACCTAACTAAATATTATAGGTGGCTTGTGGAATCCGGAACATCAGAATTAGAGTAAAAAATAGAAATAAAGTTAAAGATTGGGTTGCAGCAATCAACGATGCTGGCCTCAGGCCTCCTGAAGGCTGGTGTCATCCTCACCGTTATGGTTCATATGCTCCTCCAAGAGGCTTAGTTGAAGATGGAAGTCAAGCCCAGTGGTTTATTGATGGGCGAGCAGCATTTGAGGCCATTGCTTCTTCAATTGAGGCTGCAAAATCAGAGGTTTGTTTTTCTAACCCCACTTTCGTGACATAAGAACATACACACATAGATAGAAAGATAGAGACAGAGAGGGGGAGAGAGATTAATGGTTGTTTTCTAGTTTCTATTCAATTATTGAGAGGTTCATGCAGATATTTATCTGTGGGTGGTGGCTGTGCCCTGAACTGTATCTAAGACGACCTTTTCAAACTCATGCTTCATCAAGGCTTGATAATTTGTTGGAAGGAAAAGCTAAGCAAGGGGTTCAGGTAACTATTTATATGAATTCATATACAATGCCTTGCCTTTTTAAGAGACTTATGTGCTTATTTTTTCGGGTGCTTAAATTTTAAGAGGTAAGTACAATACAATACAGCCATCCAAGGATTTTAATATGATACCTTTCATTCATCTTATTTGCTTTTGCTTTCCAATGTTTATGTTATTACTTTCATTGAATGACTACTTGTTCTCTGTTGCTGTTCCTGAATGTTTTTTCCTTGCCAAGTGTCTAGTATTCAGTTTGGGACCTTGCCCAAGTGTGGCATGAGGGTTTGAACATTTGCCTTAATTTCACTGTAGGTAAAACAAAGTTAAGTTTATGGTGTATTTTTCATCTCCCAGTTTTCTGTACGGGCACCTTGTTTCAACATTTTTTCTCTTTTTCTAAATTTTGAGTCATTACATAGTGCATGAAGCATGGACTTCAAGAAAGCAGTCAAAACCATTTAAGCAATGTATTAAAAACTGTCAAATAATTTGCTTTGTCTCAGTGTCCATGCTTATTCTTTGTACTGTATGCAATTGAAAATCCATGCCTTTTATTTAATTAGGTAAATATGGTTCAAAATTTGCTTTATTTTTTGTTGTTCTATGGATGGTACTGGCTGAAGGTATACTACATAGAACTGTATTTTTTTTTTATAAATGTTTATGATATTATAATGGAGAGAAGTAGATCAATTGATTTTATTACTTTATAGCTGATCAGTACTCGTCTGTGTTGTATGCTACCTGGATGATGCATATTCCTTTCCTTTATTTCCATGGAAGTATTTAGATTTACATGGATTAAATTTAATGCAGATTTATATTCTTCTCTACAAAGAGGTGTCTCTAGCTTTGAAAATCAACAGTGTTTATAGCAAGAAAAAGCTTCTTAGCATTCACGAGAATGTGAGGGTATTACGCTATCCTGACCACTTTTCTACTGGTGTTTACCTGTGGTATGCAATTACCCAAAACTTGGTGTTTAGTCTTGAATGCTTTTATAACAAACTTATGTTTTTTTGTTTTTTTTTTTCCAGAAAAATCAATTATACTGCACCTTTTTGTTTCTCATTTGTTTGTGAATATTATATACAGGTCACATCATGAAAAACTTGTCATTATTGATAACCATATTTGCTTTATTGGAGGACTGGATTTATGCTTTGGTCGTTATGACACATCTGAGCATAAAGTGGGAGATTTCCCTCCTCTAATCTGGCCAGGAAAAGACTATTATAACCCAAGGTAAGTTGTGTGAATAGACAAAAAAAATCACAAAGACACGAAAGGTTGTTTAGCATGCTGCAAAATAAAAACTTTTATTCTAGTGAAAAACACTTCAATTATTTGAAATGTTTGGAGAAATAATGGAAGTGTTTATATGTGACAGTAGTAGTTCAAAATGTGTTAAAACAGTAGTAAGAAAATGATGCTTATATTATGCATGGTTTGGTTCAAAGGAGGAGAGGGGAGGGTCCCCTTTTTTGGTTTAAGGGGGGTGTGCAGGGAAAATAAAATCATAGGTCAATAGTCAAGACAGTCCAAAACTTACCCCCTTTCCATATCCTTCCTATATTAGAAGGGAGGCACTAATGGGAGGGAAGGATTTTGGCCCCTCATTTTTCCTCCCCTCCTCCTGTCCCCAACCAAGCACCGCAAGGGAACAAACACAGAAACCTGGAAAAAAACATTTTTGGACTAAGTTGTTTCTTTCCAATCATGTTTTATTCAGAAAGGATTTTAGAAAGTAATTTTGAAAAATAAAAAATTCTTAAGATTTCAGTTATTCATGTTGAACATGTATGTTTCATTGAAGATGTTTCGTCAACACCTAAAATCTTAAATTTCTCTTTACACCTACCATTTTTGGGTAAAACAGAGAGAAAGACCCCCCCAGTAGTAGTAGTTGTTTATAACTATGTGTTTCAGTGCAGAAATAATATTGTTTATGTTTCATTTAGTGCATTTCCCAAAGGTATCAAATTCACCTGGATGTTTCATTTAATTCACTATTCAGCTTTATTCTAGCTGAGGCAATACTTGCCTTGGAAACAGCAAGAATTCCAAGAACGATAAAGAAGTATATGTAGACTGTCCTGATATGACCCCTATATACGATAGTGTTATACTAGTTTCAAAATATTTCTTCCTAATTATACAAGTATGCAACTCTATATTAGTTCCTAAGATTGGTCTGACCGTTTTACATATTTAATATATGATATGCAACAATAAATATCTATGCAAGCTCCAAAGAAACTATTGGCAAGCTTGCATTTGGAATGTGTTATTCATCATTAATTGATCATTCACAAGCTCTTTCCTGTCGGACATAAGTCATATATATTTTCAATTTTGACAGAGAATCTGAACCAAATTCATGGGAAGATACAATGAAAGATGAATTGGAACGTGAAAAATATCCTCGTATGCCTTGGCATGATGTTCATTGTGCCCTTTGGGGACCACCTTGCCGTGACATTGCTAGGCACTTTGTTCAGAGATGGAATTATGCAAAGGTTAGTCTTATTTTACATGTCTTGAAGTATTCCAAACTTATTCCTAGATTCCCAATAGAAAATTATCTTATTTTTTTTTATATATATTTTCATATCAGAGGAACAAAGCTCCATACGAGGAAGCAATACCATTACTTATGCCTCAGCATCATATGGTTATTCCACATTACTTGGGACAAAGCCAAGAAATACAGATCGAAAGTGGGAACATAGACAATCAAAGAGTTCTTAAGAGAGATGATTCTTTTTCCTCATCTTCCCAAGACCAAGATATTCCTCTACTTTTGCCCCAGGAGTCTGATGGGTTGGATACTCATGAAGGAGACCAAAAATTGAATGGTGTAATCTCCCCTTCTCATCACCTTGACAAACCAAGAAGGATCAGCAGTGGTCTTTCATTTTCATTCCGTAAGGCGAAAATTGTAGCAGTTGGTCCAGATACACCAATGAAGGGCTTTGTAGATGATCTAGATTCCGAGCATGATTGTGAAAAAATGTCTCTGGATAGAGTTGCTCATTCTGATTTACAAAATACAGATCCAGAATGGTGGGATATGCAAGAACGGGGTGACCAGGGAGGTTTTCCTGAGGAATCAGGACAAGTTGGTCCTCTTGCTTCCTGCTGTTGCCAAGTGCGTTGCTCTCATGAACTACTTAATATAATAGTGTCATAAACTTGTACAATTTTGTCTAACATATACCTTTTATATGCTCATCTCATCAAAAGGTTTGTTAGAATGCAATGAATGTTTCTTTTGGTGTTAAGTATTATTCATTGAGAAAAATCAGATATTTTTAACTCTTGGCTTTGAACCATTTTCTCACAACATAAGTATCTTGCTGGAATTATTAAATTTCAGTGGCCTTTTGTTTTTGTGACTTTTATGTTTTAAATTTTTTCAACATTTGTTGTATTTTCAATAATTAATATAGTCTTTTAATTGATAGGTTATTAGGAGTGTGAGTCAATGGTCAGCTGGAACAAGTCAAACGGAAGAGAGCATCCACAGTGCTTATTGTTCTCTTATTGAGAAAGCTGAATACTTCATTTACATTGAGGTATAAATAAACGTCCTTCTTTTATCATATCTCCATTGAATTATAATTTTTGAAGATTGATGGTTTTGCGGTGTTAAACCAAAAATGTTTTTACCTAATTATCATGATTCTATCTAGAAAGCTTGCAAATAGATTGAAAAAGACAGAAAAAAACATGGATAGTTATTTCTTGAGTTACCATTTAATTATTGTTTATATGAAGTGTTGTCTACATAACATCGCAGCTGTGATAGTTTGGCTCCAGTATCATTAAACAGTCTTGTTTTAGAAAATAATTACATTTTATATTTAATCCACATTTGACTTAAAATTATGTTTCTTTACATGCATGTTTCTGGAATTGATTAAACATGCTTCATGGGATGAACATAATCTCTATGCAGCAAGGCATTTAGCTTTACTTGCTTTATGGATATATCCTGTATATATGTTTGCCTTTAATGTTAAGATGAAACGAACTTGACTACTATTAAATTTTCTTCAGTTATTGTACTTTGATGCTATTACTGTTTTTCTGAATTTGAGATAATTGCTTCTTTTAACACCTAATATAGGTTAATAGTTTTTCAATTTACTTTAAAAGAAAAAAAAAAAACCTTTTTAACTTTTGTGAACATCTATTCTTTCTGTGGTGAAACCATATTACTGGGTCCATTATGGACTCAATGGAGTCTAAGGATCATATGGGCAATATAGTATCTAGTAAGCCTAGCATCTAGTTTTAGATGAATGAATGGAAAGATTCAGCTTTTGTATTATTGGTTGTTTAGATTATGAACAAACATTATCTATGGGAAATTGGAAAGCCACAGACATTGTAAAATGATTGACAGCACTCTATCAGATAGACAAGCCCTATGGCATCTAGACCACAAATAAAGAAACCACCACATGTAAACACATCAATGGTAGGCTCAGATTTTTAATTGTTCAATTGTGAAGAGGCCCATAGTGTGTAAAAGTGTACCAGTTGCTCAACATATATTTAAGAAAGATTTATAAACCTATTATTTTAATGTTTTGGATCGAGAGTAATTTCATATTTTTTTTATATAATGACTCGTTACACTTTTAACTGTCGTATTTCCCAACTCCTTTAACTATCCTCATGTAGAAAGGGGAGGATTGTCCTTCCTGGTCTATTTTTTGTTTTTCTAAAATCTAACATCATTTTTTTTAGTATAACAGAACAAAATGTTAATTTTTATTGCAAAAATATTCACAAATGCAGACCACTTTATTGTCCTATTTGTGAGGCGCTTTGCTCGTATTTATTTATTTTCTTGTATTTTTCATTTATATACATTTTTGGCATATATATTTTTTCTTATTTGATTGGAATTGGATTTGATGTAAAAATGGGTATTATTTGAACTCAGGTCGTTGTTGTTTGTTCCAATGACTCTTTCTTATTCATTTTCATTTCAAACTCAAGGGTCAATTTCCATGCTAACTCATTCTGATAAAATTTAATAGCAGAAGTAATTATAATTAAGTATTATTTCCTTTTTTGTAGGAAGTTAGTCTAAATTTATTATCTCAATAAATTTTGTAAAATACATACTATTTTTTCTGTTTTTTAAAATTGTATTAAAAAATAAAAACAATAACTAAAAAGAAAAGAACATAGGAAAACAAATTGAATTTTATTCGTTTTGATTGCAATACAAGCATTAATTTCCGTTTTATAAGGTAAACATATTCTCAACACGTTATAATAATTTAAAAATGTATGAGAAATATAAATGAAGATATACTCTATTCATATCTCTAGCCAACATGGGGCGTTTTAGCACATCCTCCTCAAACGTAGGATTAGACATTTCAAGTGTCTATGCAAAATTTAGCATTTATAGCTAGCCCAACATATATAGTGAATCGGATCTGAATATCATATTAGAAATGAATGAAGCCTAATTTAAATCTAAAGTAGTACTTCCCAAGTCTTATAAGAAGTATTCTACTTCTAACCAATCTGAGACATTTGATCAATGTACCCCAATTATTGGACTGTGATTTATATCCCTGTTAAACCAATTGGTTTTAAGATGGAATCAAATATGGTATCAAAATTTTCATTGTTTGTGGAGGGAATCTTACTGGGTAACTTCACTTAATGTCGGTTAGTTTTAAGATGGGATCCAATAGTTAATTACATATTTATATAAAAATTTCAATATTAGAAATTGGTTTTGGACAAATCAAACCAAGTTTATTTTTGAACTGGTAGTTCATTTTTAGATGGGTTTATCTAATTAGTTAAATCTTATATCATTTTAAACTAGTTTTGAAATTACCAAACACCCCCTCAAGTTTAAATGTATGGAGTGAAAATTCTTACCTAAAACTATTTGGACTTCCTCTTTGCAATGCTTCTTTGAGTTTCACGAAGTTGAATATAGTTGAAAAGTTATGTTACTAAAGACTCCATTATTCACAACATTTGAATTATATTGTGTGATAGATTTAATGGATTATTGAACCAGTTTTGATGAAGCAATATTATATATTTATCTCCTCTCCATTTTTCTTTCATATTTTTAAAGGGGTTGTAGTTGTAATATTGTATCACATCCTTACTCTGTTCTGGACCTTTCTCTGACTGTTGTATTTCATCCTTGGGAACATATTCCAGAATCAGTTTTTTATCTCAGGTCTTTCTGGAGATGAGATGATACGGAATCGTGTGCTAGAAGCTTTATATCGACGGGTTATGCGAGCTTACAATGACAAAAAATCTTTCAGGATTATAATTGTCATACCACTCCTGCCTGGCTTCCAGGTTCCTATTAATTTTACTAATTTCTTTTTATTTAAACAGTGTAAATATTGCTTTTGCATGAATATTTGACTGACTTTTTAGTTATCTAGGGGGGGCTGGATGATAGTGGTGCAGCATCTGTAAGAGCCATAATGCATTGGCAGTATCGAACCATTTGCAGAGGACAGAATTCTATCTTGCAAAATCTTTATGAACTTCTTGGCCCTAAAGTACATGACTACATTTCTTTTTATGGCCTAAGGTCTTATGGTAGACTTAATGGGGGCCCTGTGGCAACCAGCCAGGTATTCTTATACATCTATGGTTATATGCAGAGTCGATTCAGTCAGCTTAATGATATACACTTTTTTGCAGGTGTATGTTCACAGTAAAATCATGATTGTTGATGATTGTATAACTTTGATTGGGTCTGCTAATATTAATGATAGGAGCTTACTTGGCTCTAGAGATTCTGAGGTACAGTTCCATACCCTTTTCCCTTTATATGCTGTACATGTTTTACAAGGGGTTTAAATCCACTTGTACTAACTTCTCTGTCTCTCATTTCATGCACCCTCTTTGAAATAATTTTATCAATGCTAATTTTTCATTATAGAAACAAGTTAGTTGCTCTTGTTGAATTTGGAGGGGAAGAGGAGAAATATAGAATAAAATGTGCTAGAGAGAAGTGAGAATGAGAATACTTCATTATTCAAGAGAATGGGCATGTGTACAAAATACATAGCATTCATTTTTGTAGACTCTTAATAGACTAGTGGAGATCATTTCCTTGACTTATGTTAATTGACTACAAGTGCTTAATTACTTATTCCCATGAATGCTAAGTGCATTTTATCACGATACATTAGTGAACTGTTTACTTCCTAATGCAACTGATCTTTAGGTAGCTTTCCTCTTGTGTCTACACTTTGTTGGAAAATTTGGGTGTAGACTGCAAATCTACTCCTTGGTGTTGATAAACTTTGAATTTCCTTTTTCATATGATCAGTTTGACATGATTATGTTCACAAATTTGAGGGAACTACTTAAAATAAAATAAACTATGTAACTGATGAAAAAATGACTTAAACTGACAGGTCTATCTTATTGCCAACACCCTTTTTTGTCATGTTTAAAATCGTGTATTGAATACATAAATTTGTCTGTTAACTACGAACTTTCTTTTATATACTTGTATTTGACTTTAAGTTATCTATTAAGGCATAATTACTGAACCCCTTTCTGTTCTTTAATCGTCTCTCATGGATTTCAGATTGCTGTAGTTATAGAAGACAGAGAGTTGATTGGCTCTTATATGGATGGAAAACCTTGGAAAGCTGGGAAGTTTTCCTTGACCCTCCGATTGTCATTATGGTCTGAGCACTTGGGTCTCCCTACAGGAGAGGTTATTGACTTTCCATTCTTTAGTTAGTAGTTTTTCATGTGTCTGATTTGTAATGATTATTTTAATATCTTTTCCTCAGGTCAATCAAATAATGGACCCAATTGTTGAATCTACTTACAAAGATATTTGGATGGCAACAGCGAAGGTAGCTAGAACCATAGAATGTTAATATTAGTTGCTAATTTGACTTGTTTTCATATGGATAATATAAAATTACTGTTACATGAACATTTCCATGCATAAATTTTATTCTTTTATTCTTCTAAAAGTATTTCTTGCATAAAAAATTACCCTTTAAAAGTTCCCTCTTCTTTTTTAATTATATCATTGTCCTTCCATTTAGTTAAGGATTGAAGACTGGGGTTGATAGCTGATACAGATTAGCTTGTTCCTTTTGTGTGTTTGTTTTGAGGTTTCGTTTCTTTTCTTTTCAATTTCCTTTTGACTAAATAGCAAATTGCCTACTTAAACTATTTTTTGTAAGTTGTAAGGACTAATGAGTGTTGTATCAAACGGAAAATATACTTCTAACTTGGATGTAAAGGTAAACCAAGAAGAATCTTGTTGAAATCGTTCAAAAGGACTTAAGACGTAAATGAACTTGCTGAGGAGTTGATTTTATGACAAATAAAACGATGATATTGTTTGATCCATGTAGTCAACTAGACCTAAAAAATGGTTTTCCTAAATATCTACCGATGGTCTTAGTGCCAGCTTAACTTCTACTCTCTGTGAGGGATGGAGGACACGACTGGAATTGACCTCTGTGATTTGCCAAAAAGACACTGGTCGTTCGATAGTATGCGCTTGAACTTGATGGCATGAAAATTTTGCAGTTACCTGTGGACTATCCCAAAGTCCTTTTAGAGTGCAGTGTGCTTGCCTTGGGAGTATGACATCGTTGTCAGATTACTCTTTAGCCCAAACTCCTCGGGGAGTTATTTAGGTTGCGTTTCTATTTAGTTGTACAAGATGTTTATGATTGTATATTTTCGGTTTTACATGGTTAGCCTCTTAAACCAGTTCGGACACGAAACACATACAAAACAAATACTCATGTTTTATTTTTCCTAATGATTTTTAGGTGATTGAGTACCTTTTCTAGATCTTGTGATGGTTCTGAAAAACTTAATAAGAAATAAGTTCAATAAGAGTACTGATAATTATCATTGGATACGTTTTACAGACAAATACTACAATTTACCAGGATGTCTTTTCTTGCGTGCCTAATGATCTGATACACACCAGGTATGTTAGTAATAATTTTTGCCCATCGTACGTATTTGGATGAAACTTCTCCATTTTCTGTGCCTAACATATATTTTAATCCTAATGTTTTTGCAGACATGCCTTCAGACAAAGTGTGGCTTTTTGGAAAGATAAGATTGGTCACACGACCATTGATTTAGGAATAGCCCCAGAAAAATTGGAATCTTATCATGAGGGAGGCATTAAGAACACCGATCCCTTGGAGAGATTAGCATCAGTGAAGGGTCACCTCGTCTCTTTTCCCTTGGAGTTCATGTGTCAGGAAAGTCTGAGACCTGCATTTAATGAAAGCGAATACTACGCTACTCAAGTTTTCCATTGAGTGGGATGTCTCCCCGTATATAACACTTCTTGGGTTTTCTTTTTCAATTTTTATAGGGGATTTGTAATTTAATACTTGCAGAATTCTTTTTATTCACAATTCTGCAAGTGAGAAAAAGAAAAGGCGGGTGGGGGGGTTTGGGAGACACGGTATAATCACGTTATTCTTGTAAAGAATGTATCTGTAACTGTTCACTGTAAAAAGAATAACAAATTAATTTTTATAGAAGGAAAATCAGTTCAATAATATACGGAGATATTTACTGTCTGATATTTTTCTTCCTTTCGTTCTTGTTCCTACCCATCCTAGGCGAGTTTACAAAGATGTATAGTTTTGAATTTGAATGTGTATACATGGTTTATTTCAGGAGCTATTAGAGCTTTTTAACCTTTAATCTTTGTTCTCAGATAATTGTACTTTTGTTTTTCTAACGTTATTTTTTCTCAATGATATTACAGCGAGCGTGTCGCTTGAGCAAAGGATAAAATGGAATTATGACTATGATGTATGTGTGAAATTTGTGTAATTACTCCTATTTTTCATCTGAAACGTGGGATGTTATTCCCAACCAAGAAGCAGTGAAAAATATTGGTTCAGGATAAAGAAGTTCAAAGGCTCGTGAAATGTGCCATGCCATGATTGATATATATATATATATATATATAAGCTATTTTACCAAGAATGAAATTTCGAGTTTAGTATATAAAGCATAAACCAAGGAAAGGAAAATGGTAGAACAGGGCAATTTCAATTTCTGTTATATAACTGTTGTCCATAGTTTTCATTCATATGCTCTGGCAGCGAAAAAACTGTAGCCAGTGCCGTTAGATTACAATTTTTTCCTCCTGCACATGATTAAAACCTTTAAAGACTTTCTTCATCCAGATAACTTTGTTCAAACTAGCTATTACATAATTGTCCTTAACTTCAGCCGAGGATTATTATTAATACAACTTGCTTCTTCAAATTCCCTGAAAATACCCCACTCCCAAGCTGAGGATTATCAATCAATATAAACAAAGCCATTGAGCTTTCCATAACTTACTCTTTCCTATGTACTAAGGTGTTTCGAAATTGGTGACTGTAAGAAACTTGAAAACAGAAACATTGAAGTTGGTATGGTTGCATTCCAGTAAAAAAAGGCTGCCAACCTTCATAGTATCCCCAAACTAAATGCCATTTAAGATTCAGTTTAAGATTTCAAAATGGATAAACTTGAAGCTTGAACAAGAAAAACTCCACATTCAATCGAACATTCAACCGAAGAGTGAGAAGTCTAGATTGAGGACGGGCTACAAAGGGATTAAAATTCCTTCCTAGATAATCGGTAGGTTCTTCACAAGAACCTAAGAGACTGAACATTAATTAGGAAGGCATGGTGTCCCATGCCAATTTCCATTCATGATTTAGTGATGTAGCGACAAAAATTTCAATTTCTAATTTTAAATAATTGCTTAAACTATAAAGTCAAGTTACTTTATATTATACGGGTACGATATTAGACGATATAGATATACGACAATTTTTTCAAACTTAGATACAATACGTTATATATACGTTAAGAATAGCATCAAATATTTTATTTAGATATAGAATATTGATAGAGAGAAAAAAATTGGTGATCATAATAAAAAAATGTAGTATTGTTTATATTAATAATCAATTTTGACCATGTATTGTTAGGAATATTAGGGAATATATTTTTGTTTTGATTCTCTAATTTTATACATTTTCTTATATATATATATATATATATATATATATATATATATATATATATATATAGAGAGAGAGAGAGAGAGAGAGAGAGAGAGAGAATAAAAAAAAGAATATTTTCTATGTTTAATTAATTAAGAGTTATCAATTCAATAAGCTCAACACCGTTATTATTATGTGAAAATATATCTACTAATATTCCATAACCTTGTTTTTTTTTTTTTTTTTTATACAATATCAAACTTTTTTCTGGTTGAAGGTTGGAATGTACATAAACCAAATGTTAAGTCATTTTGGTAAACTCACTCAGGGAAGTTTCCAAAAATATGCGGAAGCCTTTCTCTAGAAAACTAATTCTAGAATACTTCTGGAGAGATCAATTTAGAATATTTTTGGAAAGCCTATTCTAAAAATTTTCAGAAGAGTAAATCCGAAATATTAATATACACATGATTGTCCATGGATTCACTGTATTTTTATCTTTTCGTTTCGTCACTTCTCTCAAAGTCTCGCGCTTCTAGGATAATAATGTACATATGGCCTGGGAGACGATAATGTTCCCTCCCTAAAGCACGAAAGAAGAAAGCAGGTGTAGGCATAAAGGTTAAAAATACATGTTTTTATCATTTAATAAAAATTATAGGAGTACAAAACATTTTTGTCATTTAACATAAATTATAGGAGTTCAGGAAAAAAAATGGAGATCGAAAAAAAAATGTGCATACATGTACTTTAATTCTTCTCATGAGGAAGAATATGAGAAGTTTTAACAAAAACTTTTTGAAAGCATTCAAACCATATCTTCTAAAAAAAATAAAAAACTAGAAAAAGGATGGAGTATTTTTCTAATGCGTACCTAAAAGTATCCCAGAAGTATTTCAAAAGTATCTTAAAAAAATTAATAAAAAATAGTAGATACTTTTAAGATACATATCTAGAAGTATTAAGAGTGTTAATATCGAAAATAAGCAACGTACATCCATTACAATTCAACCCTCCAATTGACACCCGTGACGTGGTTTATTTTTGTTTCAGTGTGATAAGGTGGAAAGGATGTTAAATGTGTTGAGATGAATATTGGTCTCTTTAGAAAAGAGAAAGAAAGGATGTTAAATGTGTTGAGATGGATATTGGTCTTTGTAGAAAGAGAAAGGAAACACAGATAAAGAGAAATTTTGGTGAGGACGTGTAATTGAGTCAAGGTACAAACACGATGCCACCATTAAGATTCAAACACCGTCATACGGAGGAAGATTTGACCTTAAGAAAATGGTGTCGTTGTTAGTCTTTCCACCATTACTCATGGTGGTTTCCTAGTTGTAATATACTCATCCTGGTAAAGTTCTCAGATATTATTTATGCCAATCTTTGAAAATTTCTTCATTTTTACAACTTGATGGATTGTCACTAACTAGGACTGTAAGTTGCTACCATATTTTCTTGAGTGGAAGAGATACGGTAGTTGAGGAAGAAAAAGAGAGGGGGCAATAACGATTAAGTAAGAGTGTTAAGTGGTAAAAAATTGATATAATTATACTTTAAATTATTATGAAATAATTTAATTTATGTTAATTATAATATATTTTTCTCTTAATGTAGGATGAATTCGAGAATACCTTCATATAAGAGTACACTACAAAAAAAGGCGTTGAAAAGTGATACTCCAACCACTAAACTACTAAGATTTTTTAATAATAATTTATAAATAAGTTATATTTATTTATAAATAAATGTATATCCATGTAAATATATAAATATGTAAATATATATAAATATGTAAATATATATAAATATATAAATATGTAAATATATATAAATATGTAAATATATATAAATATATTTGTATATTTGTATATTTGTATATTTGTATATTTATATATTTATATATTTATATATTTATATATTTATATATTTATAATGACCAACATGAGTGACTAACATCATTCTCTTGAGATTTTGTGCACTTTCTTTGAACTCTTTTGTATCATGGTGATATTTTGAGATATTAATCTATGTTTTGATGTTGTTATTCTTATATTTTGTGCTTTGAAATGATTTATTCTTGATGTTTGGGGTATGATTGAAAAATATATCTTGAACCCTAGATCCCGATAAGAATATTTGTTACGTTAATTGTCAGGAATGGAATGAATGTATCAATTGCTTAACACCCTAACCCTAATACTGGAAAATCTCTTAATTGTGTACGAAATCAACATTTATTAGGTTTTTTTATGAATTTCATGTGTGAGAAATCAACATGGATGAATTACGTAGGTGACATCAACATTGTTAGATTAGTTGATGTTCTTAATTTACATAGTCATTGCAAAAGAGGGATAAAGAAGGAAATCAATCCTAAGTGCCTTTAATTGATATTTTCTAAATAATTTATAGTTCTTGTTATTTAATTTCAATTCAACTCTTTATGCAAAACCCACTTTGTTTAATCTACTTAGTAAGCATATAATTGGAAATTTCCATTGAAACCGTTCCTCGTGGGATCGACTTTTATTTAATCGAAATACTATATTGCAATTGATAATTTTGGTACGCTTGTCAATAATTCAACAAGGAGTGCATTGCTATTTCACGGTGACACTAAGAGAGGTACAATTCCACTGTTGATGTTGAATCCTAATTCTTAGACTTAGAACAGAGAAGAACACACAGTCTCGATGACGACGAACAATAGGGGTGATAGGGACTATGTTTGTGACTATATTATGTTCATGGTAAGAGGGGTAATTTTTATGTCACGATGGAACTAATTTTTTTGTAACCTAATTGAAAGAAACTTAATTGTTTTTTGTTAATCTATGATACATGAATGTTATAAATTGATGTTTGAAGTAGTTCATTTGATTTGAAAACATTGATAACCATAATGAGACAAATGTGAGCACCATGTGTGAATGAAATTTGTATGAGATTAACACTCTTTACATGTTTATGCTTTGTTAGTGAAATCGAACATAATGTACAATCTTTGTGATTGGTTTTGATTATGAATTTTTTGTATTATGTATTGGTAAAATACCTCTTATGTTTTGTATTTGGAAGGATTATAACCAGCTATATGGCTAGTGAGAGATGTATTAAGACCGATCACAGTCATAGAAAGATGTGTATACATTGACTCTTTCATTTGGCTTAGTTATAATGATTTTCAATAATAAGACAAAATTTCATGCAATGCTTTCACAAACATGCAAAGGAAGATATGTATTGGAAGCAAAACGACATTTGGCCAATTGCAATTGAGCAAAAGTGTTTGATGTAGAAAAATGTTGAATTAGAGAAACGTGTGATAATATTAGAAAAGGAGTTGAAAATACTGAATGATGTAATTAGTGTCTCCAAACATATAATCAGTGTCGTGGATGAAAGGAATTATGAGACATTGAATGAACATACCTTGATCGTAAGAACATACAATCTATGAAGGCCCAAAATTGGGTTGTCAACATGATTTGTATGAAAATTTTCCACTGTTAATTTCATACAAATATTCAAACTATATTGACTATTGTTTGTTGATATTGTAGGTATTTTATTTTACTTGTAAATCCTTTGTGGCTTATTTGTTTTAGTGGCACGAATACACGTTATGTTTGTAGTCCACGTTTTTTAGTAAATTTATTTGTGGTAATGTTATTTTACATTATTCATTAGTTTGATGGTTGTAATGTACTTGTATTAAAATGAGATAGGATAGTGTGATCAATTTAATGAAAATTTGGAATGGAGAATGTTTAATTCAGGAATGGGAGAAGACAAACTTTGACATTTTGGCTTCTAGTCAAACAACACCAATTTATGACATTATTGGTTGTGACTGGTATGTAAATTGTTTTGTAAATTGATGACATTATGTGATGTAAAAAAAAGTAAAGTGCAGA